GAGGGGTCACCAAAGACCATCACAGACAGTATTTTCTGTTGGTCATGGGAGTTCTGTGTGGGAAGTTTGGCCTAATTCTATTGTTGGTGGGCTTCAGAATGCTCTTTGGTAGTAGGTGAACTATAAATCCCAGCAACTACAACTCCCAAATGTCAAGGTCTATTTTCCCCGAACTTCATCAGTGTTCACATTTGGGCATATTGAGTAGTCGTGCCAAGTTTGATCCAGATCCATCATTGTTTGAATCGACAGTGCTCTCTGGATGTAGGCGAACTACAACTCTAAAACCCAAGGTCAATGCCCACCAAACCCTTCTAGTAGTTTCTGTTGGTCATGGTAGTTCTGTGTGCCAAGTTTAGTTCAAGTCCATTGTTGGTGTAGTTCAGAATGCTCTTTGAATGTAGGTGAACTATAAATCACAGCAACTCCAACTCCCAAATGACAAAATCAATCCTCCCATCCCAACCCCCAGTATTCAAATTTGGGCATATTGGGTATTTGTGCCAAATTTGGTCCAGTGAATGAGAATACATCCTGCATATCAGATATTTACATAACGATTCATAACAGTAGCAAAATTACAATTATGAAGTAGCAACTAAAATAATTTAATGGCTGGGGGTCACCACAACATGAGGAACTGTATTAAGGGGTCACGGCATTAGGAACGTTGAGAACCACTGCAATAGACTGTTAAGAAAGCCTTAAAGTACCTGTTTTGTTTTCATTAATAAAGAACTTTGTTGAACCTTTAAGCAATCTAAAGACTCTGTTTTAAGGAAATCCAAAGGCCTTTAATCTGAGGCAGCCCTGGCATCCCCGTTGGGCACACAGAATTTATGTCCTGTCTACAGTCTGATGCACAGGCCCAGCATGCGACAGCATAGTGTATATCAGGGGATGGAGGGAAGGAAGGAAAGTATCACAAAGAGAGCCCTATTGCCAAGGAGAGGTTGTGAGGTAAGCCCTCTCAGAGCTGAAGAAGGGAGAATGGGGAGAGAAAGGGAGGAAAGAAAGGGAAAAAGAAGGGACAGGAAAAGGAAGGAAAGAGAATAGGAAGAAAGAAAAAGGAGGAAAGAAAATAGGAAAAGAAAAGGGGGCTGGAAAGAGAAACATGGGATGAAAAGTGGGGGTGGGGGAGGCAAAGTGTGGGAAAAGAAAGTGCAGTAAGTCGACAGCGTTCCTGGTGAGGCGGCTATGGATGTTAATCCGCGTTCAAGCCTTGAGTCTCAGGGAGTCTGTGCGCTTCTCTGGCGCCCCCTGCCGGGCGATTGGGAGAGACCGGTGCCAGTCGGTGAGGCAGCCCAGAGGCGAAGTTGGCTCTCCAAGCCAGGTCCAGGAATGCCGCGCAGGAGCCCCTTCACCGCAGGTGAGTTGGGGGGCGCCAACAAGATCCTCTCGGGAAGAGGCAGGAGCAAAGCAACCGGGCACACTCTTGCGGGAGAACTTCCTGACAGGAAGAACTGTCCAGCAGTTGCCTTCCACTATGGCAGAGCCCCTTTCTTTGGAGGTTTTTAAGCACAGGCTGAATGGCCATCTGTTGGGAGTGTTTGATTGTATTTTCCTGAATTGCATGAGATGGCCCTTTGGTCTCTTCCAGCTCTATGATTCTATGTTATACCTCCCAGAGTTTGGAATATTGTGTCCAATTCTGGGCACCACAATTGAAGAGAGATTTTTTTTTTGTCATGTCAGGAGCGACTTGAGAAACTGCAAGTCGCTTCTGGTGTGAGACTATAAATCCCTCTCCTCTTCCCACACCAGAAGAGAGATATTGACAAGCTGGAATGTGTCCAGAGGAGGGCGACTAAAATGATCAAGGGTCTGGAGAACAAGCCCTATGAGGAGCGGCTTAAAGAGCTGGGCATGTTTAGCCTGAAGAAGTGAAGGCTGAGAGAAGACATGATGACCATATGTGAGAGGAAGTCATAGGGAGGAGGGAGCAAGCTTGTTTTCTGCTTCCCTGGAGACTAGGACGCGGAACAATGGCTTCAAACTTCAAGAAAGGAGATTCCATCTGAACATGAGGAAGGACTTCCTGACTTTGAAAGCTGTTCAGCAGTGGAACTCTCTGCCCCAGAGTGTGTTGAGGCTCCTTCTTTGGAAGCTTTTAAACAGGCTGGATGGCCATCTGTCGGGGGTGCTTTGAATACAATATTCCTGCTTCTTGGCAGGGGGGTTGGACTAGATGGCCCATGAGGTCTCTTCCAACTCTTTGATTCTATGATTCTATATAAACACTATTGTTATGTCCCTTCAAGTCATTTCTAATATCTGTTGATTGTGAAGCAAACCTATCATAGGCTTTCCTAGGCAGGATTTGTTCAGAGGAGGTTGTCATGGCCTTCCTCTGAGGCTGAGAGGTTGTGACTTGCAAGATCACTGAGTGTTTTCCATGGAGATTCAAACTGTGGCCTCCAAGTCCTAGTTCAACACCGAAACTCCTATACCATCCTGGCGCCCTGATATCAACACTGGCACTTCTTTAAAATGACTGTTCCTGCGCACACATCCTGAATGTGAACATGATTTATTTATTTATTTACTTACTGTATTTGTATACCGCCTTTCTCAGCCAATCAGCGAATCAAGGCGGTTTCCAACAAATCACTATACATAAAACATAAAATAGATTTAAAAACATTAGATGGTACAAAACATGACAAAAGCAGTAAAAACAACATCATTAGCATCTCATTATTATCAACCATTGTCCAGTTCCATCGTCAAGTCATTCGATTTCCTATATATTAGCTACTCTGAATTTGTAAAAGCTTGCTCGAACAGCCACGTTTTAACTTTACTTCAAAACGTTAAGAGGGAGGGAGCAGATCTAATCTCATTAGAGAGGGTGTTCCATAGCCGAGGGGCCACCACGGAGAAGGCCCGTCTCTTGTTCCCACCAAACATACTTGTGAAGAAGACGGGACTGAGAGCAGGGCCTCCCCAGATGATCTTAAAGTCCTCAATGGTTCATTAGAGGAGATACGTTCGGACAGGTAAGTTGGGCCAGAACTGTTTAGGGCTTTATAGGCCAAAGCCAGCACTTTGAATTGGGCCCGGTAACAAACTGGCAGCCAGTGGAGGTGGCGCAACAAGAGGGTTGTATGCTCCCTGAATGCCACTCTTGTTAACAACCTGGCTGCCGTTCGTTGGACTAATTGAAGCTTCCGGACCGTCTTCAAAAGCAACCCCACATAGAGAGCGTTGCAGTAGTCTATATGGGATGTAACCAGAGCTTGGACTACTGTGGCCAAGTCAGACTTCCCAACGTACGAGCACAATGTAGAAGTCCAAAAGAAAACTCTGTGACATTAGATCAGCGTTTCTCAGTCTGGGGGTCGGGACCCCAGTGGGGGTAGTAAGGGGGTGTCAGAGTGGTCGCCAAAGACCATCAGAAAACACAGTATTTTCTGTTGGTCCTGTTGGTTCTATTGCTGGCAGGGTTCAGAATGCTCTTTGATTATAGGTGAACTATAAATCCCATAAACTATAACTCCCAAATGTCAAGATCTATTTTCCCCAAACTCCACCAGTGTTCACATTTGGGCATATTGAATATCCATGCCAAGTTTGGTTCAGATCCATCATTGTTTGAATCCACAGGGCTCTCTGGATGTAGGTGAACTACAACTCCAAAACTCAAGGTCAATGCCTACCAAACCCTTCCAGTATTTTCTGTTGGTCATGGGAGTTCGGTGCCAAGTTTGGTTCAATTCCATCGTTGGTGGAGTTCAGAATGCTCTTTGATTATAGGTGAACTATAAATCCCAGCGATTACAACTTCCAAACATCAAGGTCTATTTCCCCCAAACTCCACCAGTGTTCACATTTGGGCATATGGAATATCCATGCCAAGTTTGGTCCAGATCCATCATTGTTTGAATCCACAGGGATCTCTGGGTGTAGGTGAACTACAACTCCAAAACTCAAGGTCAATGCCTACCAAATCCAGTATTTTCTGTTGGTCATGGGAGTTCAGTGTGCCAAGTTTGGTTCAATTCCATCGTTGGTGGAGTTCAGAATGCTCTTTGATCGCAGGTGAACTATAAATCCCAGCAACTACATTTCCCAAATGAGAAAATCAATCCCCCCCTCAACCCCACCAGTATTCAAATTTAGGCGTATCAGGTGTTTGTGCCAAATTTGGTCCAGTGAATAAAAATACATCCTGCACATCAGATATCCACATTATGATTCATTACAGTAGCAAAAGTACAGCTATGCAGTAGCAATGAAAATAATGTTGTGGTTGTGAGTCACCACAACATCAGGAACTGTATTAAGGGGCATTAGAAAGGTTGAGAAACACTGAGTTAGATGAAAGAATGATGTTGATCAGCTGGGACAGAATAAGATGTGGCAGTTGCTCTACAGGTAGTGGATTTGTCATCTTCTGTTTGCAGTCTAGATATCCTATCTATTTTTAGAGGTTAAGTATATGCTAAGCTTCTTGGCTGTGAAGAACACTTTGCTTCTCTTGAAACCTGCTGCGAGCTGAGTTCAGAAAAGAAGCAAAAATATTATACTGGAACTTCTTTTAGGCTTAAAACCTATTTCCAATCCAACTAGAATGAGACCAGGTTTTTTAGAATGTCTGACTAATCGGTTGTTTTAATAGGTCTGTATTAGAAAGTTGATTTAGGACATATTTAAAAGGAAGTGCTTCTCTTATACTTTTAACTTCAGTATTCAATAGCTAGCGCTTGCTGTGACAAATAGGAATGAAGAGCGAAAACGCTTCCATGTTTGACTAGTGCAGGATTTGGGGAGGAGACAGAGATGCACTGGACTTTCTCCTGGCCCTGAACAGATTTTAGGCTTGCATTGTAAATCCAATTTCAGTGGGAGAGTGAAGAGCATTTTAAAATCTGCTCCACTGGAATAAATGAAATTACAAGAGGGTCAACTTTAGCTAAGCATTCATCTGGTGCTTTCTTCTGAGAAAACAGTAAACACTAATGTTTACTTTATGTTTCCTTTAGCATTTTAAAAGGATAACTGGCAGAATGTGCATTTGAATGTACATCTTTTACGCTATGTCCAAGAAGAGTCGCACAAAGGGAGAGAAGACTGACATGGAGATTGAAGCTATCCAGTCCGCTTATGAAGAATTGAAAATTAAACTGAGCAACACCCAGATTGAATATCAGCAGGAGAAACGCAAGGTATGTAAGGCAAAGCAGAGGCAAAGCACAGGTATGTCAGCCTGTGATTGTGTTTGATGCTCATGATTATGTTCATGTTGGGAATGATGTTCATGTTGATATGCGTACAAAGGCGGCCCTAGGTAATTTTAAACAGTAAGCAAACAGTATTTTTCCACCCCACCCCCCCAACCAATCACTGATATATATTTTCTGTTTGTCATGGGAGTTCTGTGTGCCATATTTGATTCAATTCCATCATTGGTGGAGTTCAGAATGCTCTTTGATTTTAGGTGAACTATACATCCCAGTAACTACAACTCGCATATGTCAAGGTCTATTTTCCCCCAAGAGCGCCTCAAGAGCGCCCCTGGGCAAAATCAACTATACTGCAAATGCTTACTATGCGTAATGGGTTGAGCCGCCCCGTGTGCATAATGGGAATGGGAATGATGTTCCTGATGATGGGGTTTAGGATGCGGGTTTGCCCCAGGCTGGAGTTAAATTCAGAAGAGAGGCCTGAGCAAGGTCACATTCCTGGGAAAGACCTTTCACCACTTTTCTCAGAGCAGCAGCCTGAAAATGATGATGAGATCGCTTTGTCAAGTGCAGAAGGAGATGATAGTAAAGTTTTAGTAAACAGAGGAAGAACTTTCAGAATCTCAGGCGTTCTGCTCGTTTATAACAAAAGAAAGATAACACAGCATTATCTACTCTCCTCAACGTTCTTGTCCTAGGAGTACACCCCACCACCTACCACCCCCCCTCCCCTGTACGATGGTCTGTCTATTACCCCGTATCTCCTTACAAAAATTCTGCTCCTTTATCTCACCCTGAGTTTTTAAATCATTCATGTACATGCGGCCTGCTCACTGTGATTATGTTTGGATTCCTGCTTCCCCTTCTATGTTTTGTATATATTGTTTATTATGCTTATATGTTTTGTATTTTAATATGATGTTGTTTATTTTATTGTAATTCATATTTTATTTTATTGAAATTTATTAATTGGGCCTGGCCCCATGTAAGCCGCCCCGAGTCCCCGTTGGGGAAGATGGTGTCGGGGTATAAATAAAGTTTATTATTATATTATTATAAAGTGAGGAAGACCACTTTCCTGTTAGTTTCAACCTTTGGAAAGGGTTTATAATGATTCATGGGAGACCAGTGTTTCATTCGAGTCAGCGTCTTTAATTCATGCCGGTTTCGTTTTCCAGTGCTCTATGTTTAATGTATCTAGTTGTTGCCCAGTCTATTTTTTTTCCTGAGTGATTCTGCTGTTTTGTTCCATGTTTTCAAGTGCCTTGCTTCATGGATTTCTATGTACTAATGGGCCTGGTTTCCTTTTAAAGTTTATGGATTATCTTGGATTTTGGATTTTTACTTTTTCCTATTATTTACTGCTTTGGCTACATATATTCTACAATAAACTGCTTGCTGATTTTACCAAGCTGGTATGGTGTTTCAAGTCAGAGGTGTTCTTGCTCTGGAGTACAACAAGATAGCTGTGTGGAAATGTGACTTAATAGCAATATTTATTTATTTCGGGTACTTATACCCCGCCCTTCTCAACCCCTTCAATATGATTGAGCTTCAGTAGAAACTTTCAAATTTGTATGCTTCACTTCCATAGCCAATTGTCGTTCTATACTACAAAAAGGAATTTTGTCATATCTTTGGCTATGTTTTCCATAAAGAGAACAAAGCAAGGCAAGTGTATTCATAGCGTATTCATTGAGTTGTCTATAGGCTGAGAAAGGCGGTATGCAAGTAAAGTAAATAAATCAATCACTGCTTTCTCAAGTCTTACAGTCCAATCCTAATTCAAGCCTAATGGAATGGGAGCAGGCTGTCTGTCTGTTGCTCTTTACTCAGTGTTCATTCTGATCCACTGAGCAATGGTAGGGTTATGGTTGGCTACTTCATGCTGTTGGCGCAGTGGGTTAAACTGCTGAGCTGCTGAACTTGCTGACTGAAAGGTTGGCAGTTCGAATCTGGGGAGCAGAGTGAGCTCCCAATGTTAGGCCCAGCTTCCAACTTAGCAGTTCGAAAACATGCAAATGTGAGTAGATCAATAGGTACGGTTTTGGAAGGAAGGTAACGGTGCTCCATGCTATCATGCCGGCCACATCACCTTGGAGGCATCTACTTTCAACGCTGGCTCATTGGCTTAGAAATAGAGATGAGCACCAACCCCCAGAATCAGACATGACTAGACTTAGTGGCACGGAAACCTTTACCTTTACTTTACTTCATGCTGAGTTTCTTTCTTTTGAAATTTTAAAGTTTCTAGTGTTCAACTTCTAAAGTGTCGACTTAGAGATACCCGAGAATATCTATTTCCCTGTGTTTTTCATTGGCACAATAGAAACAGTAAGGGTAATCTGTTAGTATTCATCTCTTGTTTCTTCATTGCAGTAATGATAATAAATAACAGAATAAAATCTAACATCTGTAAAACATATTTACTAGGTGTTTTGCAAGCTTTTGAACATTAACCAAGATAAAAGGGGTATGTGGCTAGTTGACGTTTAATTAAAATGTGTGTTGATTTGCATTAACAGCTTTAAAACCCATATTAAAAAGATGTGCTTAAAACCTGATTTCAGCCAAAATATGTTCATATTCGCATGACTGCATCCCTGCAGTTAAGGAAAATATGTGACTTCATTCCGATACACTGGTGTGGATTGCTCCAGTGCATGTGCACATTTTAAAATCCCAAAACAGCTGATGAGGGCTGTAAACAAATGAAGCCACAGACACAGAGGTGGCTAAATGGAAGCATAATTGGAAAGCAATTCCCATGAAAACACTTTGCAACCATTCTTTTGTTCTGATGTTTATAAAATTAAACAGACCTTAAATTTACATGAATGGGGGGATAATAGGAAATTGCTTGTGTGCACATTCAGATATCTGCACCAGTGTATATGAAATTCAGTGTATCTCAGAGAGTCGATTTTAAAAAGTAAAAGTAAACTTCCCCTGGATGTTCCCCATCCATCGTTTGGATCTCCAAAATACAAAAGAAGGTGTCAGGATGCCAGGGGAGCATTTACTGAATTGTGGGACCGACAGCTCTGTGTTTGGACTCACTGTCAGGTCCCACAATTCTTTGCGGGCCCTTCTTTCGCCTCTTCTTCTATCACAGGCAAGACTTGTGGGAGCGAGGGAGAAAGCCTTCTCCGCTGTGGCTCCCCGACTTTGGAACTCACCACCCAGTGAGATTAGGCAAGCCCCCACCTTAGCAAATTTCAAGAAAACTTGGCTGTTCCAATGTGCCTTTGGAGAGTAACCATTTATCCTATTTCTGTCTGCTCCATCTATAGTGTTGTCCCTATGATGCACTTTTCCCCGTCCTAAACTGAAAGTCTACCTCACTGTTTATCCTATTTGGGCTCCCCTCAATTACATATTTTCTTGTCCTATTTCATCCAGGGTTTTATCATTTTACCTCGTCCATTCGGCTCATCCATTCTGTTCGATTTTATAGTGTGTTAACTTGCTTTATTTTATTTTGCTGCTGTACGTATTTTATTTTGATGTAATTTTGTTTTCTGCATCTTGTATTTTATTTTGCTGTATTGTACTTTTGGGCTTGGCCTTTCGTTAGCTGCCCCAAGTCCCCTTCGGGGAGATGGTGGCGGGGTATAAATAAAGATTATTATTATTATTATTATTATTATTATTATTATTATTATTATTTGCTTCACTTATTTCTCCTGGATTATGATGCTGTCTGAAAGTGCCCTTAGATTCGGGTCCAACTCTCAGTGAGGAATATACTTTGTGTAGAGCTAATGGGCTTTGCCTCGGCAGATGCAGGCATTGGCTACAAAATACTTTCAATAGGATCCTGACTTCAAAGAGCCCTTCAAGCAAAGTACTCAGAAAATGCTGTAACCGTTTTGGATATTTTTATTAATCCATTTTCTCCTTGTGTCCAGTTGAGTAAACTGAGAGAGAAGTTGCAGGAAGTAAAACAAGAGCGAGAACAAGATCAGCACAAACACAAAGCCTACATATCTGAACTGAAGGCGAAACTCCATGAAGAGAAGGTGAAAGAACTCCAAGCTCTCAGGGAAGTACTGATTAGGCAGCACGAACAAGAGATGGCTCGCATGGTGAAAATAAAAGACAGTGAAATACAACGATTGCAGTCCACCGTGAATATGTTGCGAGATGGAGCAGCTGACAAAGTAAAAACTGCCTTGTTAAATGAAGCCAGGGAAGAAGCCCGGAAACTGTTTGATAACGAATGTATAAAGATGCAGCAAGAGATACTAGAACTCAAATCAGGTAAAAAACAGGTGGAGGAAGCCTTGAGTAATATCATGCAGGCAGATAAAATGAAGGCGGCTGACCTGCGCATGGCCTACCAATCACATCAAGATGAGATTAATAGGATAAAGCGGGAATGTGAAAGGGACATCCGCAAGCTGGTAGGTTTATTGCCTAATAGACTTTTTGTAGCTGTAGTATATGATGGCCCATTTTTTAAACTGATTTGAATACTGTCATGTAAAAGTATCTCTTTCAGACAGTGCCAAAATTCACGTTTTAGAACTGAGTAAAAAAATCCTGGGACCTGCGGGTCCACACACAGACTTGTAAGTCCCGGGAAATGCTCCCCCACCATCCTCATAGCCTTCTTTTGATGTGGATTGAGATGGAGGGTGAATGGTATGTACTGGGCTATATTTGCACACATTCAAATATCTTAATATAAACACAAGCAGATTTGCATGTGTGCATATGAGGTCCAGTGTATAACAGAGGGAGTTTTAAAAAAAGACTTCAGTCAGAACTCTCTCTTTTCCAAATTGTTAATTCAACTTTAATTTAAGATTATTTAGTTATTTAGTTTGTTAGAAGTCATAACCTTTAGAAAGATGATGCCATTACCTTTTTGGAAAATAGCATTCATGCAAGGCAATTAGGTTTCTCAGCTGTTAAACTGATGTACCTAGATATGTCTTTGAACTGTTAGGGACAAAGATATGCCAACTCATATATTGCAGAGTTTCAGAAGTGTTATTTTTTAGTTGCCCAAAGAACATCTACTGTCCCTTAAAATATTTTTGACTTTAGGTCATGCTCTCAAGAGACAAATAAGTAGTCTTCTTGAAAAGTTGGTTTACTCACAAACTTCATATATTCAGCATACAGGTATTTTGCATATCAATCCAGTTACAAATAGATTTGAATTAGTTTCTCTGTGAGGGTAACACAGAGCATCTTTCTTATAATCAACAGTCCATAATCTAAAGCAGGGGTCCTCAAATTTTTTAAACAGAGGGCCAGGTCATAGTCCCTCAACTGTTGGAGGGCCGGATTATAATTTGAAAAAACATGAATAAATTCTTATGTACACTGCACATATCATGTTTGTAGTGCAAAAAACACTTAAAAACAATACAATAATTAAAATGAAGAACAATTTTAACAAATATAAACTTATTAGTATTTCAATGGGAAGTGTGGATCTGCTTTTGGCTGATGAGATAGGATTGTTGTTGTGTGCGTTCAAGTCATTGACCCTGAGTGAGGGCTGGGTAAATGACTTTGGAGGGCCGTATCCGGCCTCTGGGCCTTAGTTTGAGGACCCCTGATCTAAAGCATCTCTCTGTTCTGAGAGCCTAATAGAGTCTCTGTGTAGTCTGAAAGTCCAATGGAGTGTGAGATCTAAAATGGAGTCTGAGCCCCGAACAAGCCCTGAACAAGCCCAGATCTGATTGTGGGCGGAGCCTGCAGCCCCGCCCACAACAAAGGGTTAAGGGAAACTGCAAACCAATATGCACATATACAATACAGTAAGTAATCTGAATTATATACATAACAAATAACTAGTGGAGGCTTGAAGAAGGTTGCTATTTCCAACAGTTATTTACATAATACTGAATTACCTTGGTCTGAAATATTCAAAACAGTCAAAATAATTTTTTGAATAAGTAATCTGAAAATTCTGTATCAGTTGTTTAGCTACTTACCTTCTGGCAGAATTATTGCTTTATCAACAAATTGCCATCTTTAAATAATTTAATGTCAGGAAATTTCAGAACTACAGATATATTTTGAAAATGAATGTTGATCAGATTATGAAGTGCTTTTCATATCATCAAAATATGTGTCTTCAGATGCTGCATGTATCTGTTCACAGTGGATCTGCATTGTCCATTTCCAACTTTATGGGAAGGAATCAAGAGTTCTCAAAGATATCCATTTCAATATATGAAAGAAAGTTAAGGGGATAATCTAAACCAAAACTATAACTTGAATTGTGTTCTACTAGGGTGAGGAAGGTAGGAATAATACTTCATTTTATTTGAAGAGTTTGAGTGAGTTAACGTTTTGTATGTTGCTGTTGGTTTTCTAACTTTCTTTAAGATGGATGAGATAAAGAGCAAAGACAGAGTGATTCTGGCTTTGGAAAAGGATCTGGGTGCCCAAGCAGGCCATACGAGAAAGTTGCTGCTCCAAAAAGAAGCACTGGATGAGCAGCTTCTTCAAGCCAAAGAAGCAGAACGATACCATAGCAGCCCAAAGAAAGAACTTCCCCCTGGAGCAGGAGACATCAATGAACTGGTAGGAGGCCCAGTAGGAGAACCATTTCTTAAAAACATACCTGTTGTTCTTTAGTTCACAGGTGAGGAATCTCTACCGCAGACCAACTTCCACGCTAGATTAGCTCATCTGATCCACAATGTCTTAGAACAGTGGTTCTCAACCTTCTTAATGTCACGACCCCTTAATGCAGTCCCTCATGTTGTGGTGACCCCCAAGCAAAAAATTACTGTTATTGCTACTTCATATTTGCAATGTTGCTACTGTTATTATGTAAATATCTGATATGCAGGATGTATTTTCATCACTGGATCAAATTTGAGTACTGGTGGGGTTGCAGGGATTAATTTTGTCATTTGGGAATTGTAGTTGCTGGGATTTATAGTTCACCTACAATCAAAGAGCATGCTTTACTCTACCAATGATGGAATTGAAGCAAACTTGGCACACAGAACTCCCATGGCCAACAGAAAATACTGGAAGGGTTTGGTGGACATTGACCCTGAGCTTTGGAGTTGTAGTTCACCTACATCCAGAGAGCACTGTGGACTCAAACAATAATGGATCTGGATCAAACTTGGCATGAATACTCAATATGCCCAAATATGAACACAGATGGAGTTTGGTGAAAATAGTCCTTGACATTTGGGAGTTGTAGTTGCTAGGATTTATAGTTCACCTACAATCAAGAGAATTATGAACCGCACCAATGACAGAATTGGGTGAAACTTCCCACACAGAACCCCCATGACCAACAGAAAATGTTGTGTTTTCTGATGGTCTTTGGCGACCCCTCTGAAAACCCCTCGCGACCCCTCCAGGGGTCCCGACCCCCAGGTTGAGAACCACTGTCTTAGAACATGGCCATCTTCCCTGCCCAAGGCTCCACAAGAGAACACATTATCTGTAGCCTTGAGAATATAGTTCTTATTGCTCTGAACACAAGAAATTATCTTAGAACTCAGTCAGCATCTAGAAACTCTGTGGCTAAATCGAAGAAGAATTGAAGCCATCCCAATAGAGTCATCAATGGGAGAAGCTCCAGCAACCTTTCAGTCTGATGTTGTTGAAAAATACTTTGTAGCTTCAATTCGTTTCCAAGTTATGGAGGCCCTAAGGCTTGGGCTGGATGGCCCTTATGGTGTCTCCCAACTCTGATTCTATGATTCATGGGATTTCTAGGCAAGATTTAGTTGGGGAAGGTTTGCGTTTGCCTTTTTCTGAGACTGAGAGAATGTGACTTCCCAAAGTTCAGCCAGTGGTCTCCAGGGTCCAATGCTCAAAACACCACAGCGGACTGGATCTCTGAACAGTAACCCTTTAAATGTGGGGTGACTCTAGGGAGAAGTGGAGTATATACTGTAGTTATCACAAAATTTCCCCCTCCCATTCTTTCTTTATTTAGTGATTATTTTAGCAAATGATAACTAATTGCCAATTAAGGGCTGGGACAAGGTATACATACATTAAAAGTGGAGCTTTGCATTGATCCTTAAGGATATTCTTTCCTAGTAACATTACCTTTTCTGAGGTTTTTATAGATACTTTCACTGGGGTGGGACAATAGCATTCCCTATGAGGAGCTGCTTAAAGAGCTGGTGATGTTTAAGAAGAAAAGGATGAGACGAGGCATGATCGCTATGTTTAAATGTTTGGAATGATGTCATAAGGAAGAGGGAGCAGGCTTGGTTTCTGTTTGCCCTGCAGACTCGGAGCAATGGATTCAAATGACAGGGAAGGAGATTCCACCTGAACATTAGGAAGAACTCCCTAACGATCAGAGCTGTTCAACAGTGGAACTCTCTGCCTCGGAGTGTGGTGGAAGCTCCTTCCTCTGAGACTTTTAAACAGAGGCTGAATGGCCATCTTTCTCAACTGCTTTGATTGTTCTTTTCCTACATGGCAGGAATTAGATTAGGTGGCCCATGCGGTCTCTTCCAACTCTGTGATTCTAATTTGCTTCTTAGTCTTCCCTCTTCATTAAATTATTTTATTTCTTTTTTTAAAAGTCAGAATCTAATATTTTTTCTTAGTTCTTATAAAAAGTAACCTCAATGTAGGATTGAGGCTTGAGAGTTCAGGCCATCTTGACATTTCTGTGTCAAAACCCAAGAACCCTGCTGAAGTTATTAAACGTGGTGCACTAAGTGCCAACCACAATTACTCATAGCTTATCATTTACATGCATGTGAACACACACACACAGGACCTAAATGAAATGGGGGATTATTTCTTCTTATCTAGTTATGGAGATAAGGAATAAGGAATGCTCAATTTGGCCTACTTGCAAGGGAAGGAGGAAGGAAGCTAGCTAACTAAGGGCCCTTCCACACAGCCCTATATTCCAGAATATCAGGCAAAAAATCCCACAATATCTGCTTTGAACTGGGCTATCTGAGTTCACACTCAAATAATGTGGGATTTTCTCCCTTGATATCCTGGGATATAGGGCTGTGTGGAAGGACTCTAAGGTCCCTTTTACAATGCCACATAAAATATGCTTTTAATTTAATTTAATTTAATTTATTTACAGTATTTATATTCTGCCCTTTTCACCCCACAGGGGAATCAGGGCGGATTACAATGTACATATACATGGCAAACATTCAATGCCATAGACACACAACATATATAGACAGACACTCAGAGGCTATTTAACATTCCAGCTTCTGGCCACCAGGGGAGCTGTCACTTCACTGTCTGTTTGTGACACTGATGAAGTACTTTCCTCATTCTTTGCATACTTCCTGGATATTTTTATGGCCTCGTAAATCAATTAAATTAGCCTTCCAACATAAGTGGTACCTAAATGTCCTACTTGACAGATGCAACTGTCTTTCAGTCTGCAAAGGTCAACAACAACCTACACAATTTTGGTCGGGAGCTCACTTCGACCTGGGCTAGCTTTGAACTTACGACCTTTTGGTCAGTAGTGATCTTAATGCAGCTGACTCCCAGCCAGCTGTGCCACAGTCCCGGTGCAGACTCATGTTCTAATCTAGTTCAAAGAGGATAATGTCTGTTTTGATGATCTGGTGTATATGGAGGGCTTCATCCATACAGGCACTATATCCCGCCTTGAAGCTGGCTCAAGGTATGAACTGGGTTATCTGAGTCCACACTGCCATATATTCCCGTTCAAAACAAAAAATGTGGGATTTTATTCAGCTGCCTGGAAGGGGCCTACATTATATGGCAGTGTAGAAGGGGCATAAATGAAGCACCCACAAAATGTGGTTGGGCACATAGGGATTTCAACACTGATACAAATTGCAAGCATATATAGTTGTAATACGTTTTCCAGACTTGATGTAGATTATATTGCATCTATTTCACATATTGGCCAACTTTATCTACATTGATTCATTCTATGTGATGAATGCTTACAGTTTTATGTTTTAATATACATTTTATATTTTTAAGGAACAGCATATAGATGAGAGAGACTTACGAAGATTTCAACTAAAAATTGCAGAACTGAATGCTGTAATACAGAAACTAGAAGACCGAAATTCACTTTTAGTGGATGAAAGGAATGAATTGGTAAAGTAACTAACAACACTGTGCTAAAAGACACAAGGAAAACACACAAACATACACATGAACCCTTATCAGACAGCTCAATTTTCCATAATTAATTAGGTGCTGGTGAAAATACAGATAAATCTACCTCTGCAGGAGGTAAACCTGAATATTTATATGAAGAATCCCCTTTAACTAGAAAGGTTCAGATCCCTTAACATATGAGTAAGAGTAATCACATGAGTTGTCGAAAGTTTTCATGGCTGGAATCACTGGGTTGCTGTGAGTTTTCCTTGCTTTTTTTTTTTTTTTGGTTGTGTCAGGAGCGACCTGAGAAACTGCAAGTTGCTTCTGGTGTGAGAGAATTGGCCGTCTGCAAGGACATTGCCCAGGGGACGCCTGGATGATTTATGATGTTTTATCATCCTTGTGGGAGGCTACTCTCATGTCCCCGCATGAGGAGGTGGAGCTGATAGAGGGAGCTCATCTGCTTCTCCTTGGATTCGAACCTGCGACCTGTTAGTCTTCAGTCCTGCCGGCACAGGGGTTTAACCCTGTGGCTCCATTTTCCTTGCTGTATGGCCGTGTTCCAGAAGCATTCTCTCCTGACATTTCACCCACATCTGTGGCATGCATCCTCAGAGGTTTTGTGTGGTCTGTTGGAAGCTAGGCAAGTGAGGTTTATATATCTGTGGAATGTCCAGGGTCTGCTTGAGGCAAGTGTGAATGTTGTAGTTGACCACTTTTATTAGTATTGAATGGCCTTGCAGCTTCAAAGCCTGGCTGATTACTGCCTGGGGGAATCCTTTTTTGGGAGGTGTAAGATGGCCCTGATTGTTTCTTCTCTGGTGTTCCCCTGTTTTTTGAGTGTTGCTCTTTATTTACTGTCCTGATTTTAGAGTTTTTAAAATACGGGTAGCCAAATTTTGTTCATTTTCATGTTCTCTCCTTTCTGTTGAAATTGTCCACATGCTTGTGGATTTGAATGGCTTCACTGTGTAGTTTGACAAGATGGTTGTTCACCTTGGCTTTCACAGATTCTTTTCGCACAGCCTGCCAGGGCTTTAATTGTTACTACTATTATTACTACTACTACACCACAAATGCTCTGAGTTTTTTTTCAAGTGCTTGAGGAATAGATTGTTGCAATAAGAAGAGGCGCTATGTTAGCATTCTCTAGCTCAAACTGACAAACTTGCAAAGTTTGTACTTTATACAAGTTTATTCAAATAATATAAACAAAATTATTCTTTTTAGGAAAAGCATAACATTAGTATCTGAGGAGTAGAGCATATAAAAAACTGGTAACATGTTATGGTGAAGACCGAATAGATACATTAGTGTTTTCTCCCATCTCTTAAGAATGGAGGGAACCAGGTTTAGGATTAAAATTGTAAAAAACCCCCACAGGATTAGAATGTGCTAAATTGAGAAAATGGAAAAAGTGCTTAACTGGTAGCAATAATATCAGTTTACAAGGATACAATGAAGGATTAACTTGTATTTACGCTAGTTAATTTTCCACTTTATTTGCAGTTGAAACAATGTCGGGAAGCAGAAATACAGTTTAAGCCTCTTGTAGAAAAAAACAAAAGGCTAAATAAAAAGAATGAACACATGCTGCAAAATATACAAAGAATGGAAGAAAAAATTATCAAGCTATCCAGAGAAAATATGGAAATAGTAAGTCGACATTCTCCTTTCTTTATGAATTGTAATCAGTGTGCTTGTTTCTTTGGCTAATTATAATACATTTTAAAATCACATTTGACTGAAAACATTGGAAATCTCCATCTCTGTAATGTGTGAATTAATTTAGCAGACCCGTGTTCTTATCACTCCTAATTATCATTGCTTTACCACATTACAGACCTGTGTACCAAGAGTTCATTGTATGTATTTCAAGTAGCAATCTCAACAAAAGCAATAAAGAGAATTTGCACAATAATTACACCAGGCACTCACACAGGCTCTGGTTGCCATATTACAATCTTAGACTCCTTCTGTACTGCCATATAAAATCCAGACTGCTTTAAACTTTTGTGGATTATCTTCTTTGATAGCAGTATAGAAGGGGCCTCTGTCTCCAGAGAGGTAAAAAACAAGCTTGTCCCCTCCTCAATGTGACATCATTCCAAACACGGCTGTCATGTTCACATATGCAACATAGTTTTGTAGAACCAAAATTTGAGGTATTTTTTAAAACTGAAGAGAAAGCCATCAAGTAAAGTCAGCATGCGTTGCATGTTGTTGCTAACAGATTCATGTAAATATATAAAACAGACACTAGGTGGCATTCAGAAACCTTGTATTGTTGCCAAACATTTCAGGAGACTCTCCACAATCTTATCTCAGATATGCAATAGCCACCTATTCCCCTCAGGTTAGGGCTTCCTTGCAGGCAGGGCAGCTCACCAAGGAGGAGGAGGAGGCTGCACAGGAGAGAGAGGCACCATTTGTATGCGCATATTCATTGACACCCAGTTAGCACTTTTTTCATGCCCTTGGTGCTAATCCTAATTTTGTGGTTTATGATATCAATCCAATTTCCTCAGAAATTTAGCTGTGGCTGACAACATTTAGCCAATGGGATCCCATGGCTCTCTTTAGAGTGATGTCCCTAAAAGGACATTTTTGGGAAATCAGTAACAGAGAGACATAGGCCCATTCTACACTGCCATATAACCCAGATTATTAAAGCAGATAATCCACATTATTTGGTTTGAACTGGATTACATGAGTCTATGGGAGCATCCAGGCAGCCTAATTATTGCAGTAACTCCCGCAATAAAGAAGGGGCTGTCCAGATGATGCCCTGGACAATCCCAAATTAATTTGCTACAAACCAGGAGAAGCTTGGTTTGTAGCTAATTAATTAGATAGTGGATTTATTCTGTGCCTTCTTGGAAGGCGCGGGATAAACCCACTATTTCCGGTGTCTGGACTGCAGTCTGGACACCATTTCCACAGTTTTCCGGACTAAATTGGTGCAGAAAACTGTGGTAATACCCACCCCCTCCCCAAAGCCCCCAAAGCCCTTTGAAAAGTGAAGAAA